TTATTATTGATATTTCTGAAGTCAGTTAGAAGTCAGGTAAGACCAGTGCGTGTGCATGTGTATGTTAGCTCTGTACATCTATGTGCACGGTTGTGTTTACATTGGCTTGGATATGTCTCCGATTTTTGGTGTCGGCAATGGCAGGTCATTGTTGAGGTTTCCGCTTGGTCGCCATCACAACTAAAGCGTCCCTTTAGGTCCAAGCCAGATAGATGTGATGCTACCCCTATCACCACGGTTGGTGCAGTTCGGTTGTGTTGGCTTATAGTGGTTCAACGCAGGCACATTCAACGTGTGACTTGAATCCTGACAGGAGTATACGAGTGCCATCGAAGCTGATTTGATGGCTTGACTCAAGTGAGTGAAGATCAGTGAGTCGCGGCGAGGTTCCTTAAACTCAACTGAAGTTCGTGGAAGAAAACGAGCTATTCCAGTTACGCTCCGTAATTTGCATATGGTAGTGCCTGGCGTCTGGCTTACGTAGTTGTCTGGATATAATGCACAGGGAATTACTGCTTGATGGGGTCCCTACAGATCGCACTCCTTAGATAGCTTGAGGGTCTTGAAACGAGCCGTCCAGTATCACCTATAGTGTTTAATCTTTTCCTATGCAATGTTGAAACTAAGCCCTCAGACAACTTCACCTGTGCACCGTGTATCTGGCTGAGGCACAAACGACCACAAACACAGCATGAGTCTTATTAAAATACCTGAACAAACAATGTAGTAGTATAGAATTCTCTTTGGAAAGTGACAGCAAAAAATGAATTTACATTTCTGGGACTGCAGGATGTCTGTTAACACCAACGTGGGAATTCACGGGAAGCCCACACATTCCGACAATTGTATGTATTATGATTCTTACACCGTGTTTAGTTAAGGCCATGCGAGTGGGTGAACTGAAACAACTGAGCAGGACAATACATGGGGCCCGATACCCATAAAAGTATGGGGAACACTGCCCGAAACAGGATGAAACTGATGAAACAGGAAGACGAAAACAAGGTGTTCATCATTGGAATCCCAAAAAATTGAAGGAATTTTAAGGCTTGACCTCCCAGCCAGTACTCTGAACACGCACTGGTTCTACCTACTAAATTTTTTGAGCTGTCAACTGTACAAGAGAAGAAGATTGCTGTTTCGGTGCACAAAGTTAGCACAGCCATAAGGAGTAATTAATGTTTTGGTGAATCCAGTTATATTTGAATCGGAATGGGGTGTTTCATTATGAGAAATGATCTATTCTACTATCTATCAGATGTATTCTGCTACCGACGAACGTCAAAACTGTGCATTCTTGCGTCTGGTCATCATTTCGGATGCCCCCAAGGTTATTACTCAACTGCAGTCACTCTTTAAAGATTAGGTGACATCCACAAAGCTCTATATTTTGTGATTAGATCACTATCGCCCTTAACTTACTTTTTTTTTGAATAACCCTGCACGTTTTGTGATAGGGAAACGCTAACATACACGGGATCTGGCATCAGTGTCTTGCGACACTGCGCACTGCATTATCGGCGATCAGTGTCTACTTTGACCTAAACAAACGGAAATTGTTCATTTGGCGGTATTAATAAGGATCAGCTCTGTTGGTTTTTATTTCACTTGTTTACTAGAATATGTACGTTTCTTCTGTTTAGCTTGACCAAGTTAAGATCAGGTGCGACCCAATTTAGTTGAAGTTGCTCAGGCCGTGCTCACAAATAATGTCGACGACCACATGCTGCTTGGATAAGCAGGGGGTTCGATTCCGGCCGCATCCATCTGGATTGCTTTCCAGGACTTGTTCCTCAATCTTATCCAATTGACATGTAGCAGCACGGGTCTACAGCGGCCTCCATAACCAACAACATCTAATTTTCGAGAAATACACTCATTTGCGTAACTGTTTCGTTTTAATGGGAGAAATGGCTGAATCCTAGCTGAATCTCTCGTTTGTGATATTTTTCGACTGAATTTGCTGCACAAGTCTACTTAATGTCCCACTTAGTACGATATTCGAGATATCGCAGCATATTTTCTTGAGCGAACACGAGATACACTTTCTTGCTGCATGTTCACTTGCAGAGAGGCATATGGCTGAATTTAGTTAGATCTGTTGTTCAAACAAAATTATTGTTCAACTGACTGCCTTTGTGTCTATTTATGGTTCTAGGGGAACATAAGGTTGACGAAAACGTGATGGCTACGCCCACCTGGTGGGCTCGAAGAAGAGCGAACTTGTGTGCTATGTGTTACGCCCACCTGGTGGGCTCGAAGAAGAGCAAAATCGGTCGCGGACGATTTAGCGAACTTGTGTGCTATGTGCTTGGTCCAGGATCTACCGTTACGAGCTAAGCTTAGTAAACGGGAAGCTGGTCATTTGTCTCACCACGCTTCATCCACCATACGGGTGATACTATGGACGGACACCGTGATTTAATTTTTGATATGAAAAACGCGGAAATTTTGCCTTCACACCACGCTATGCATTAGATGTCCTTGGCGGATTCCAACTGATTCCAAATGGGACAAGTTTTTTTTCGTTTCTGGATAGTACGAATCATGTGGCTCGCATGCTACATGATCTACTTTTTGTCCCACGAAGCCATATGAACTATATCACCTGAGTGATTAAGTGAGTGCATCACGGCAACAAGTGGTTTGAGTTTATGACATTCTTCACTCGCTTCTAGCTTCACACCTTGGCGATCTAAATTCTTTTGCGGCAGGGAGTTCGGTGGTCGATGTCATCGTAAGTCATCAAGAGGAAGGATCTTTGCTAGACGTGTTATATTTGATAGTCACTTCTGAGGGTTCATCTGGTGGCTTTTGTATAATTCTGGTGTTTGTTCATGCCCCAACCAACTGTAGCTCTGACACCACCAAAGACAAGTTTTACAACACCTTGAGTGTTCTGTCATGGCGGGCTAAAATTTCAGCTATCGTTATGGTTACTGGAGAGGAACGGCCACCGTGGAACTATGTTACATTGCAGGATGTAGTTTGACGTGCAAATGTCCGAAATACGTACAACAGTTAATCACTGTTCATGATATTCTTTTCATCAAATTCATGAAGACAATTCTGTCCAGTGCACTGGTGACAGGAGCTGAGTGCAGCATAATAACTAATTTAGAGAAATACACTGATTTGCAAACAAATTTGGTTTTGACAGGGACTCGCCTGGCACATAGCTGATACTCTCGTTTATGATGTTTTCAAGCAACTGAATGTGCTGCATCAGGCAACCTCATGTTTCGTTTGGTACGATATTCGAGATATCACGATACATGCATAGACGTAATACACTACTCATAAAGTTGCTAAAAATTATTCGATAGCCCACGACCGGTTCCGCTCTTCTTGGGGCTCATCAGGTAGGCGCATTTCCTGAGTTTCCTTCAACCTTAAGTTCTACTTGAACCCAAATTGCACGATTCTAGCAGAATACTCTCATTCGCGAGCGAATTCGGTTTTGTGAGAGATTCACCAGGAACACAGCTGAATCTCTCGTTCATGATGTTTTTGAGCAACCTTATGAATGGTGTGCTACTTGAATGACTGGTTGACTTTGATTAAGGGTGTCAGCGCTTGATAATAACCCGTATCACCTAGAGGGATGTGTGGTATCAAAAGCTGACTTTTGAGTCCAAATATCCAACATCAAATATTCGGAAGAAATTTTGGCGGTTCACGTTTGTGGGGTGATACAGATACATTGAGTTTTTTTATTCAAGTTCTTGAGGCAGTAAAAGGGTACCTTAGAGGGTGAAAGAATTTTGAGCAGTCTTATCAATCATCACAGTATAGTATTACGGGATAGGGAACCACAAAATGTATGTAAACACAAGTAAACCATTAGAAAGCAAATCCTCTGTTAGAAGCAAACGATTACAAAATTTTAAGAGGGCAGTGCCGGATTAAAATGATGTAGTATTATTTGATCCTCTGTTAGAAGCAAACGATTACAAAATATGGAGAGGGTAGTGCCGGATCAAAATGGCGTAGTATTATTTGGAATTCTGTTCGGAATACACCTATAAGCTGATCCTGGGTAGCTCGATTGTCTATGATACAGATGTATGGTTATCTATCCTCATATACTATGGTGTGACATGGCAAGTCGAAATAACTGCATCGAGTATGCATGCATTTTCGCACACAAGCAAAACCGAGTAAATCAACCCGTGATAAGCCCTAAGAAGTGGGTTCTCATGGAAACCGATATTTCAACCACTGGATTTATGTTGGCAAGTAGACCAGACTCTGATAACACAATTATTTGTCAGTTTTCATTCTTGATAACATTGTTGAAGTTGATTATGCTACCATAAAGTGGATAGAGTATGACAGGCTTAAGGGGAACGTAGAGATTAATAATACCTGATGAAGAGTATCATATCTGGTCACTTGTGGCACCGACAAAGAGTGAAAATGAGCGCCCGTCGTTTTTATTTTTATAACAGACGTTGAAGTTCAGAGCTATGATCTGCAATCAAAGATTAGCGCTAAAAATAAGCATATCTCACCGATTAATAAGGTCAGATGATTCCACCAACGCCAAGAGTTTTTGGCAGGTGGACGAGGGTTTAGCTACTTATGCTGTATGTTTTATATTGGCTTTCAAGCAAAACTATTATTATGAGGCCAGTGGATAACAGGAGGTAAAGAGTTACCACAACACCAAACGTTATAACCGGACTTGGTTCGTATTCGTTTTTCATTGAAGCTTTTCCGGGATTTCTTGGCTCAATATATGTACGCTATGTAGTTCATGATTCACACACTCACATATTCTTTCATTTAAGCTGGTCACTAATGTTAGTTGAATGACATTTCAAACAAGCCGAATACTGTCCATGTGCATTCGCTTTCATTCAATTTATTTAAGGTGGTAAAATCCTGTATGTGTATGGAGCAGTTAAGCTTGCGGCCAGTGTAAAATCATCTGGAAAAGTAAGAAATTAATCGGCGTAACCGTGGAGTATTTGAAGAAGACTCTTATGGTTTGCAGTCATTTATATGCACTTGCCATAACTGAAAGAAATCATCAGTGCTGATTACAACGAAAAGGGATATGTTGTTTGTAATGCTTCAATTCCGCTTTCTTCTTCGCCTGGATGCAGCTTCTTTGGGTTTGTTCATTTCCTCTAGCTCGAATTCGACTGGATAGTGGTCACTGATATCCTTTGCCTGCAAGAGATCATGCAAATATGGTACGTAAAGTAAAAAGCGCCACCCTTCTTATTCTATAAGAAAACATGAAACTTCAGCGACGTTGTAAGTCTTTGTAAACCACCACTGTAAATCTTTATGCTGGCCCACGTATCTCGCTTCCGATTGGAGGTGATAAATATACAGAACGATGGAGCTGGTTCTCATTGCAACTATAACAAAAAAAGACACGGAGTTATGGGTGACGTGGCTAACACTATCGTTACTGAGGTGTGTGGGCTCATATATCATATAATTTCGAAGTTCGTATGACCCATTATACATATAGTACCTGAAAAACGACCGACTGAGAATGAGTACCCCAGTCACTGTCCACTCAGAATTAATGTTCTCCGAGGTATGTCATCTTTAACCGGTGTCGCAAGCGCCACTACTGTGCCGTGCGAGGCCTCTTAAGAACATCCACTTTGAATATGAATCCACACGAAAATGAATGCAAACCTGAATGTTGATGCAAAAAAAACAGTTATTGGCTATGTAAGGACCCAAAACAGACTCAGTAGGCAAATCAAAGCTCACCGTTTTGTGATCCAATTTCATTTCATCATCATAGCGGTATGCTTGCGCTTGTTGGTCTTTTATTGCACTCATGAGCTCGTCACCATAAACGATCATGCTTCAGAAACAATCAGAATTTGTACCGGGTAAAAAGAAATATTGTATTTTGATGACGGCTTGGCATATAAATTACCAACGGTCTATTATGAATATTCATTGTGTAACCACCAGATTATTGAAATAATTTTGTGGAAAACTACCGTACCAGATTGCATGCTATACTGGATTTGCATTTTACCTAAGATGATCTGCCGAACCTTTTATTTCATTAAATTATTAGCTGGTTCCATTCTAAAATCTGGAAACTTATATGCGAAAGTTGAATAATCAAATATTTTTAACTGCGCAGTTTTCGTTGGATATATTGCAATCTTCACTGCTTTCTACATAGGTAATAATTTGGAAAATGTTGGTTATCCTGAGCAGTCTGGTGTGACTCAATGTTGCATGATAAACGAACTTCATCTAGGTTTGGACTCATCAGCTACAGGGCTGCACATGAAGTCTAGATAGTACATCTAACAAATTTATTTTCTGCAATATTGTGACAACTCCCTGCCAAAAATTAGACTTGACGGGCAGAAGTAAAATGGAATAACTAACAGACCCTTAAGACCAAGCTGATTCCTGGTGCACTATAACAGATAGACAGTAGTGATTTGAGGCTAGAGGCGTACATACACACGACTATAAATGATCAAAGCCAAAATGCCTAATAATGTCCCATTCTTATGACTTACACTTACTACTCCTCCTTGTGAACCATTTAATGTGCAATGCTTCTTAATGTGAGAAGTTCATGCTAACAAAAGGTGTGTGTGTTTATCAAACTAAGCCATACACTACCTGCGACATTCATGGTCGTTGGCTTGTTCGCTGAGATGGGCAATTTGATTGCAAACGTTTCATCACCAATCGAGGTAACATCATCAGTGCGTTATTGTGGAGCGTAGTTGTGCTTAGCGGTGGGTTAGTGGCACAACCACTAACCCATTTTCCTCTATAGAAACCTGCGGCATTCAGCCTAATTTGACAAATCAGGACCGTGCAGTGTTCGTCCGGTCCACCATGTGGAAGTGTAAAATGGGCGACAAATCGGTAACATCCTCTAGCTTTAATGGAGTCAAGTAAGATTTGAAACTTATCGGGTAGATAAAACCCATTTAAACCTTTATGCGTGTTTCTGCAACTGCTCGTTTACTAACTCTTCACTCCGCTTCCCTGAGCATACACAAAAAGTGCTCATCAGGCCACTTACAACCAACTACGAAGCCAACCACCGGCTTTTCGTTACGATAGCTGAGCTGTTGGCACAGAAATATGAGACCTAGTTGTCTCCCTGCTCTGACAGAACTCCAATAGTGATACCCCACATTGCTCATCAAGTATAGGGCAACAAATTTGGATACTTTATCTGTTTCAGATTGTTTGTCAACTTAAGGTATTTGCATCATTGAATATCCGCAGGCACAAGGAATGTGAATGAGGATGTAGCACCGGAACATAGTAACGTGTAGAAATAAAACCCCCCAGGTTGCGCCACCCGGAATTAGGTCGTTTTGCGCATGTTACTGGCTTGCTGGTGGTCACCGATGAATCCTCTCGCCGCAAATTTCTGCACGGCGGATGAGTTGCAAATCGCGTGATGGCCCATTCCATCATTCATATAAAGTTTGCATTGCTTGAAACTCTATGTGGAATCAAATTTCCAAGAATTTGAGTTTGCGCAATCAGATAAACACAACAACTCAAGCTGATTTAGAACCTACTGCACACAATGTTGGCAGATCGTCACTTAAATCGGTACATTCTAACACACACTATCCTTAATTTTACTCTTTTTTTACTAATAGTATCATTTTACCGCGTTCGTCCGTTTGTGTTTCTTTTTGCTTCGTTTCTGATATGCATAATTTGCGCAGCTTGAGTATGATGAATTCAAACTTGAAGCAAGATTTTACAGCCCATATTTTAGCTTTTTTTCATTTGTTTTATGCGTTGAGGATGACAACTCACCTTGTACATGCACAATAGGATTATGATGTTGAACCTACCTCGCGCTATTTGAGTTCATCTTAACACCTACCTCGCGCTATTTGAGTTCATCTTAAACCTGCTCATTGTCCGTACGTAACACTTCCAATTAAGTCATTAAAGGGTACGAAATTGACAGTTTTAGAAGTTGAAGAGTCAAAGAGATAAACACTCACAGATATTGCTGAGAAAGTATCTGAATAAATTTTGTCAGATGTTTTGCGAATGCCTCCAACTGTTTCAACAAACACGGAGGGTGAGAAGCCATTGATTTGAAAAATAAAGAAGACTATGGTGGCAGACTTCAAAGATGCATTTTTACGTGAAGCAATCCAACTTATTCGTCAAAAAATAACATGTATAGTCCACCATCTGAAGGCAGATAAAAATGATTTGGGCACTCATATGGAGGTCCGAACAACTATCCGGTTGCTCGTCTTATTTAACAAGTTCACTGAAAATCGCCTGTGAGCCTGGCGTGCCAAAATGTTTGTGTTCCATAATTTTGGGTCCTAAAAGATACCGCAGTTCGCCCATTATTTTCGTACTAATCATTTAACCGTCTAATTGCACTTGTCACCCAAGGTCATGTAACAGATGGATATCAAATCGATACGGTGTGCAGCGGAATTCATTTTCTTACCCATAGGGTTACTGAAGTTCCTTAGCCCACTAATTGTGTCCTACATGAAACATTCAGTTCACTCTCTCGTGGACACCAAGGTCATTTGCAAGTGAATGTATTTCGAAAAGTGCAGTCACTGACATCACCAAGAGAATTTCACGCTGTCCAACTACTGCATAAATAATCCCCTGAGGCTTTTGTGCTCTGGTTATGTGCCACGGAATACAGCTTGGCAGCTACATTTTTTTATCGAACTAATTTTCAGGAAAGGAGAGTGGAAAGAACAGTGTGCCGAGGGGATAAGCTCTCAAGACGGTGTATCTGATCAGAATACTCAGGCCCGATCGACTCACTTCAGCAGTGAAGCTAGTCAAGATATTTATACTCCCGAGCTCGGCTGGTACCATTAAAGGATGAATGAACGTAGCGTAAGCGTTCGTCAGCGCAAATACATGCTGATTTGTGCTTTTTCAGTACAGTTTCTTATAAAAACAGGTCAAGAACAGAAAACCAGGTGCCCAAAGTCTCCTGAGAGTCTTCTTCGATTAAACGAGTGGAGTACATGATAAGCAAAGTGTGCTGGGATTCAAACCCTCAAAAGTTGAATAGCACAAACTGTTTGGCGTGGTAAAGTCACAGTGAATTATTGGTAAATAATTTAACCAATCGAATGCATTTTCACGTTTCCAGTACAATCGTACAAACTGCAGGCGAGTGGCGAAAAGTCGACCAGCATCGTTTGTTGAATACCGGGGTAGCCGGCAGGCTCTCCTACTGAGCCGCTCTTACAGTGCGCAGCGTTTGTGCTGGATGAAGAGAAACGCGACATTAAATACCAAATGGAAGTGAGTGACTATCAATGAGAAAAATTTATTCCTTTGGGTGAATATAGATCTTGTTGATGAGACTACATAGAAAGCCATTTTTGGCTGTTTTGGGTTAGTGCCACTAATGATAATGGTCGGTACAAGTCTAAACCAAGGGAAGGTTAAGAAAGAGTACAGAGCTATGATACAACACGAATGATTTATCAGCGTCCCTTTAACCGATGACATAGTGACAGGGATGATTGTCGTAAGGAGTGTTCAATAAACATCAGAACTTTCGAAAATCAGGGCGAAATAGCGGTAAAATAAATTAGTCTTAAGATACTCCTATGGAAGGGTATTTCAGTGATAAACTCTTGGTTTCGTTTCAGTCCTGATTCCGTCCTGCACTTGAAATTAGCCTCTTCCGAAAAACCGAGGAGCTCTGTACAAGTGTTTCCTCCTTATTAGAAATGATAAACCGAAGCATCTCACTGATTATTAGAGAAATTCAGGCTTACCACCATCAGGCTAGTAGTTAAGTTGCCAGGAATAGCATTCCGTTAACGAAAAAATTAAAGCTATTGGTTCCAATCGGAGAAACATGGGATATGGTGGTCCAATAGCCTATTGGGAAATAATGTTAACATTTCTGCGCAAAAATGATCGCCGTAACAGGAAAAACCTTAATATATTTGATCATTGTTAGCCGAAAAAATAGGTGATTTATAAGAAGCACTTCATTTAGGGGTTATTTTAACCAAAAATCCATTTTTGTCCTGGTTTAATTACCCCAGACCTCGAATCAGCATTCAGTTCGACTCATTTGTATTTCACCTGGGGTGTCTACTGGATACTGGGGCAACAACAGTAACAATGAAAAGACAAAAACAAAGATCACAACAATAATGTTACAAAACCCACTCAAACCACTACCTGACTTACCGATCTAGTGCACAGTTATTTGAGTGTACCGTTGTGTCATGTCCGTCGCTTATGAGCCAGACATAGCTGGTATCCTTCATCAAACTCAGCTGCTTCATTTTTCGGTCGCTCAGATAACGGCAGTCAGCATTCATGTCGCCAGCCAAAAGGACGTTCTGTACACAAATGTGAAAAAATTCCGACTGGGAACATGTTCAACGTGAGAAGTGCTCAGGCAGTAATGCCTACGGAGTGACAAACATGTCGAGACAGTTCTTGTGCATAGGAGTGAATAGGTTAGCACTTCATGGCGTCATTCAAAATTTCATTCACTCTTGACGGAAAGTCAGAAGGGCTCAAACCTGACGCATTTTTTCACAAGGCGTGCAGGTTTTTTTTTCTACTTAGAATTTCTATATTTCCGTAGTATTTATGGCAATTCCAGGGGCCATTAAGAACTGATATCTCTGGCAACCTGAATATCTGACCAATGGTCACCGAAGCTATCTGTGTAATTAGTTAACCATAATTTTGCCCAATATTGTGACTGCCTACCATGGACGTTGGCTTAAACTAGTTGGGTAATCGCTTTGTGAAGAGAAGAAAATAGTTTGAGGATGCTTTCTTGTATCAAGCCGTGTCAAGCTTTACTTCACACACAAAACAAAGTACCCGCAGACCAAATGAAATTCACTTGACCTAGTTACTATTTCTTCAGTTTGGTTATGGCCACCTCAGCAAAATTCACCTAAATCCTGGAGGTTGCTCCATAACTACAAAAAATTTCACTTCAGCCGTCAACTGGTTATCAGTCTTTGGTGCTTGTTCTGGTTGGCATCCCTTCAACATAACTTTCGCCATACCTTTGCTTGCCGTTATGTTTCTGAACTTGTTGATTCACACTAGGTTCGACTTAATTCAGTCATGCTCACTTTCGCTGATAGTGAAGCCCACTTTGCGAATAAGCACTGTTTTGCTCGAAGTTTAGGGCATCACGAAAACATATCATTTTAGGTATAACTTTAATCACCTTGTATGAATTTCTGTCTCGACAGCAGGAACATCTATTACAGTGCACTGTCATTACTTACCGATAAGATCTCACCTCCGTCATTTCATTAAAAAAAGGCTTATAGTTTCGTGCACTGGTTTGATGACGCTTTGACGACTAAACGATGCGCTAATATACATCACTTGGCAGCTGGATTAAGTAGGTGGAACTCAGAATGCACCCACACTACTCTGAGATCAGATTTTATTATTTCTAGTAGTGGACAACAAACATACTCAATGCATGATATCAGTCAGAGCCTGTCGAACTAGGAGACCTAGGTATAATTATGATCTGTCCAGTAGGATTTTGGTTGGTATGTTCAGTGCATTTTCTAGATTAGACACAAGAAAATCGCAACTCCACGCATTCAGTAGCTCTCCACTTACTTCCAGTTTATGTTGCTTCCGGAATGTTTCAGCGTTTTCATACAGTGCATTTAATTCAGCCTCCACTGCGTCAGGGTCCAAATGTACAGCCACCCATCCAAACTTAAGTGAACCTAAGAGGAATTAAAAAAGTGATGGTGCGAAGTTTGATTACCTCCTTCCACATTCACAATGAAACTCATGGGAGGACGTTCAAACTTGTCTTGCGGATCTGGAAACACACTGATACCAGTCACAGTCACTTTTGTTGGTCTGTTTCAAAGGAAGAAATAGGTCACACACAAAAGGCTTGAGCAAGAGTGATCAGATGCCTTCAATCCCTTCCATAGACCGACATTCGTTAATGAACAGTGAACCAAGCGTTGCGTTGAAAGTCTGCAGTATTACGAAGATCAGGGCCATGTTTAAAAACAACGATGTGTCAACGGTTTGTCTACGTCTGTTCCATTCACGGCAAATATCATTAGTGTAGCAAAATTTGAGTTTGGTAACAAAGGACCGGGTAAACATACTGTGAAGGAGGGACAGGTGCTTTTGCGTTAGTACATATCAATCATCGATTTTTCGACTAAACTCTTGGCGTAAACACAGGATACGTAATAGAAGTGCGCTAAACTATGAACGTTTTGCGGGCGATTCAGAACGAACAGTCAACGACAACCGAGGCTGGACCTGCTTTTCACATCAATACTGTTTTTACCAGAAGAAAAAAATAAAGTTTAACCATTCTGCAAGACCGTATATTCTTTGAACGATTAGAAATGTGTGTATTAATTACACAAACGGCTTCGTTCAGAGCTGTCAGAATATTGTCCGCGCATGGACTGGATGCCATACTGATAGTTCATTGGATACCTGCAACCAGGGATCAGTAATTGAACCAACACGTTTATCCTCATACGGTCTTCTTAAATAGATCGAGGGAACTAAACTTTGAAGTCACCTTTAAGCCTGAGAAATAAATGACCAGGCTGCATTTTCACTACGGTCACGCTAGATTATCTGGATACTAGCAAACAATTAAACGTGAACCGGAGCAGGCAAAATGTAACTCAATAGTCAAAAGACTGAGGTCGGGATGCAACCCAAGATCGGAAACTTGCCAGTTAAGTACATTTCCACCTTACACCCACGTCGCCCCAAATCAGCATACGCACTTGAGGTCGACTGAATACAGTGATTCGTGTTCCTCATCTATTAATGTCCATGATAAGGATCTAAAATCCCTGTGTGGTTTCGCAGTTTTCTTCGGGGAACTTGTATTTTATAATCGGAGATGGATCTTAGGTGCTTACCATAGTACTGAGATCAAACTAGGCATTATGAGAATGTGGACAAGGAATTTATGCTCTGTTCAGATCATAGCTGTAGCACACTCCTGTAAGTTGTTTTGGATGTTCTATGGACTCATATCAAATTCTTCCATATTATATCAGTGGTTGGTTGAAGTCCCAAAGCAGGTGAAGTGGAATCTCTATGAATGACTATCGATTTGCTTTGAAAGCTTTTGCGTTTTTATTAGTAAATATCCGTTTCCGTATATATATATATATATATATATATATATATATATATAT